CGGTATACCTATTCATAATTTTTAAAAAGATCAATACAAGCCATATTTGGCTAGAAAAGAAAAAATTTCTATTTTTAATATAGCCAGTTCTGTTTAGTCTTTCTAATTTTAAAAACAGAAAAATACTAGTTGGACTCTTATTCAGTAATTCCACTTCTAGAAATTTATCCTAACAAAAATCATCAATAATGTTTAATAAGACATAGCTACAGAAATGTTTATTTTAACCCTACTTATAAAAAAAAAACCCAAAGAGCCATCTTAAATTCCCAAAACAAGGAGTATAAAGAGAAAAATCAGAAAAGACGATTACTTTTTTACTCTGAAAATAGAGAAACTGAGAATAAGAGGGGTTAAGAAATTTAACTAAAGACAGAGCTATTAAATGGCAGAACCAGGATTTAAACTCCAGGTTGACCTGATTCTAAAATATCTGCAAATATCTGCCAGAATCAACTGAAAAGACTCCCAGAGCAAACAACAAGTGAATGAAAAATCAGGTTTTATTACAGAAAATTTGAAACTACAAAAGTAGACTAACAGTATAATGAACCCTCATGCAACCACTATTCAGCCTCAAAAATGATCAAATCATGGCCTTTTTTTTTTTTTTTTTGAGACGGAGTCTCGCTCTGTCGCCCAGGCTGGAGTGCAGTGGCCGGATCTCAGCTCACTGCAAGCTCCACCTCCCGGGTTTACGCCATTCTCCTGCCTCAGCCTCCGGAGTAGCTGGGACTACAGGCGCCCGCCACCTCGCCCGGCTAAGTTTTCATATTTTTTTTTTTTTTTAGTAGAGACGGGGTTTCACAGTGTCAGCCAGGATGGTCTTGATCTCCTAACCTCGTGATCCGCCCGTCTCGGCCTCCCATCATGGCCAATTTTATCTCACCAGTATCTCCAACCACTTCTCTTGTTTGCTTTTTGGGAAGCAAATCTTAGATCATGTCTTTTTAGGATTAACTTCATAAAGAAAAAAAATACTGCATTATATTCTATCAAGTAAAACCTATAATTAAGAAAACAAGTATAATATACTTGCATATAAACCATAATACTGTTATAGCTTTACTTTTAGGAATATTCAAATTAATTAGAAATAAAGAGTATGTTTCATATATAAACAGGGAAAAGGCCAAGACCAGATATGAGAAAAAGAAAAATTAAACTACTGTACCTTGATTTGATTGAAACAGTGTAAGTATTTCCAAGAACTGCCATAGTTGGAATAAGGATAAATGCCAAAGGTTTACATGGATCAGGATTAAGTTTAAAATAATACCTATAATATGAAAAAAAAAAACACCCATAAATCAACAATGACCTGATCATTTTAAATTATCAGAATCAATAGGATAAATATTGTTAAAAACATTCCAATAGCAATATGGATATAAGAGAGCTGTAAACAGTTCATGAAATATCTGATAAGTAATTTTTGCTCCATATCATCTTTGTATCCAAGGTTTTAGAAAGAGAATTATGATCAGAAACTACTAAAGGAAATGAAAATAACCAGTATGAATGCACTTTCTTTTTATAAGCAGTATATGTTTAAAACGGCATAAAGTTTTAAAAAAACAAATTACTTCAAATACATGAGTGCTACTCTATAACAAAAAAGATAAAATGAAGGTTCATAAAGTTATTTGTCCCTTATCTTTTTAAAAATCCAATTCATTTCTTGCATTTACTGACAGTAAAATGTCTATAGCCTTTTAGAACCAAAAATTTGTGCTCCTCAAATAATTCTGACAGCAAATCTGTGAACAAATTGGATATTGACTAAAATATGGAACAAAAGGAGGATATTAAAATCTAGTAATCTTTTATTTAATTTGAATTTATTTTGGTTCTGCCAACTTAAAAAAATTCCCAGTATTTAGATAACTTGAAAATTTTATATCATTTTTGAAAACTACATTGAATAGGGGTTCAACTACTACTTGGATGAAGTGGCCTTTTATTTAGCAATTGACCAATGAATAAAAATACAATTCACCCTTTTGGGCTGATTTTTTTGAAAAGTTTATATTCCTGAAGTTTATATACACATAGTAAGGGAGAAAATGTGAATGTATTAAAAATAAATTGCTTGAACCCGGAAGGCGGAAGTTGCAGTAAGCTGAGATCGCGCCATTGCACTCCAGCCCGTAAAACAGAGCGAGACTCCATCTCAAAAAATTATAAATAAATAAAATAAATAAATAAATAAATAAATAAATAAATAAATAAATAAATAAATTTCAGGTAATGTATAGTTTCCTGTTCTTGAGGAATTTTCATTAACCATTAGGAATCTAGCAAGTCTCTACTTAGGGCTATTTATTGTTTGAACCACATAAACAATAATTATATAAATAAAACGCACCTAAGATTCTTTAGCCAATAAATTAGAGAAGGCATGCTGAGAAACACAATCCATGATAATAAGTTAATCACAGTACTGTGCATGCGAAGGCTATCTTCAGCATCGTTAGCAGATAAACGAAGATGGTGTACTGAGGAGTCTTTATGATGATTGGATTTCTTTTCACTTCTTCTAGAGTGTTTGGGATTCTATAAAACAATAAAGTAAAAATATCATGATACTAACTAAAGTATATTACTTTATTTAGAATCATACTCATTACTTATTAGCTAAGTAAGTACATCTTTCCATTACCAAACTGACATAAAATCCTGAAATTACTTTGCTTAAAAATACTTTAAAAGTTATAAAACTTTTATTCTTTTGACTTGTTAGTTCTACTGCTGAGAATATATCCAAGTAATTTTTCAAAATAAAATTTGATAATAAACTTGTAAAAAAAATGACATAGGTACTGACAAAGATGAACTTATAAGTCTTTTAAAATATTCATTAGGTTCACTTTACTTAAATTCAGAATACTGTATCTTTTAAGCACTATGAAATCCTAACCTTAAAAAAAATAAACTCTTATATTTCCCCATGTTCTTTCATTTTAAATTTACATAGAGTTTTGAAAATAAAACTTACACTTACCACAGGCTGGCTATTCTTAAAAGTTGTCAAGCTGGCTTGCAGATGAACAACCTAAGAAAAATAAATCGCTGTTTAATTTTACTTTTATTTTGAAACAAAACATATAAGCCTTTGGTATTAAAAATGAAAAGCACTGTAATCTGAAATTTTAAAAATGCAAACCAAAAAGTCATTTAAACATTTAAAAACATTCTTATACAAAACAACAACTACAAATGCTGGCTATCATGGATTAAAAAACAAACAAAAGCAAGAAACATCAACAAAGAAAAAACGGAAACAGACACAAAACAATACAAACTTCTGGAGTATGGTGGGGCCAGGATATACTGCTATATCTTTTACAACCTGTAAAAGCCTAAGTTTGAATGATGCTTTGTTATAGCAACTTAATGTGTCTTGTGAGTCAAAGATTTCATTACATTCAATACAGTAAAAGAATATAACACATTTTACATATTTTAAGTCTTTGAAAACCAGAACCCAATTATATACAGTGGTGAAATGTTTATAAGAACTGGAAAAAATCTTTAAATTTAATTTATTAGGGTTACCTAAGTATTTAAGAAACCTTTGCTTAGTGGATCAGTGGTTTGAAATACCTAATTAAAAAAATACTAAAATTATTATTTATAAATCAAAGTAGCTGTAAATAATTTTTAAAGAAGCATATAAATTTCCTTTGGAAAACTGAAAATAATATATGATATGTATGCATTTAGTTTACACTTTTAAAAATTTCATTTTTAAGGAAAAAAAGCATTATCCACTCTGATGTCAACTGTCTGTTCCTAAGAATAACATGGAGAGAATACACCTGTATCACCTCCTGGAACTTTTTTTTTTTTTTTGCAAAGCCGTCGACTTTATCAGACGTGTTTTTCACTTCTTCAGTAAAAATATTAGCCTAATTATTTTTATTGTCATCTTCTGATCCTTCAGCAACATTTGTAACATTTTATATTATCTTAGCATGATTAATAGCTTGATCCTACTGACATTACTTTTTGTTTCATCTCTTACCCATGTTCAAAAAGAGGTGTGAATACAAACTGCTCTAGTAAAATGTTAAAAAAAAAAAAAAACTTAACACTTGTAAAGACCAAGAAGCAAGCAGAAACAGATTCTATCTTCTCCTTTCTCTTTCCTTTTTAACAACAAAAAAACCCCAACTTAGATCAATAATTTCCCTTTTCCAGTTAATTGTATGTAATTTAAATAACTAAGATGTTTTTAAAAACCTTTACATTCAAACCCATTATGTAACAGAAGGTTACTACAGTGGTTATGAGAATTTTTGTTAATAATGCCTATAGGACATCCTATATGTGCCTAATACAAAGCTCAATCATTTTGGCTTTACTGATTTGACATACCTTAAACACATAGTAAACATAAGAAAGAAGTATGGCTAGTGCTCCACAAGTTGTCCAACTAATTATGATCAAGACAATTGTCAAAAAGGGCAAGTCTGGTGATATCATCTTGATATCTTTAGGAAGTTCAGAGGGTCTGGAATTACAAGAACGAAGTTTAAAATACATATTAACAAATATTTATATAGTCACATATGAGAAGAAAACAATATAGTACCCTCCCGTCTCTCTTGCTTATATGCAAATATATAAGGTAAACAATAAGGTATTTTAAAAATAAAGGCAAGTGGCCCCAAATATTTGATTTTAAGTTCTGTAATGTATTGTGATAACTCCTCTACCATTTTGATATACTATAGCTGATACTTGTACTACAGGTGAAAAAATGTCACCAAAGATAATCATTAATTATACACCCTGTGCCATACATCTCCAGTCTTGACAGGAGGAGAAACTATGTTCTATTTCTTAAAGCCTAGAGACCACTCAGACCCTTGGTGGTATTACTATCAGAATCTCTATCTGAAGCTTCTCAGAAGGGTGGAGGAAGAAGCATCACACCCACTATAATCTCCTCTGTGACAGGAAATCACATGACATGTCTGGTAAGGAGGAGTGGCAATGGGCACTAGATTGATGATTTACCAGGAAAGCCTACCAGTAACTTCAGATTCAAACTGTGTCATTGGGCCCATAATAAAACTCTAGGCAATGTTTCTGGAGCTTTTATACATCTCATCTAATCTGATCCTAATATCTGGATTACAGACTCTTGCCCCCTGGTTTCACTATAGAAGTCAGCATATAAAAGCAATATCATGGGAGAAGCAATCCCTCCTGGGAAAGATTCACAACCATGAAATTTAAAACTATCTGTGTAATTTGTCAAACTTTTTTACTAACTCTTGAGCACTAAGGTCAAAATCAAATGTAACATTTAACTTGTAATAAATGATTAGCTTTCACAGACACTAACTTTGAACACTAACCCATACTTTTGCTAGTTATATATTTTTCCTTAGAAAATAGTTTAGTAAAAATAATTAATTTCAGGTTCCTTATCAGAACATATATTTCTTCTTAAAGCAATAAGAAAGCTGTTAATCATTCATTCTTTACCTTTTCAAAGCTAGCCACAATGAAGAAAGAAGTCTCACAGATGCAGAAGAGAGTAGGCCACTCCAGTAGGCAGTACACGTTCCAAACAGAAAGAGAATCAAGGATATCAGGGGGAAACACATACTCTGACTAGTTAAAATGATGGCATCTAATTCTGGTAACAATAATACATCCCACAATTCTTTAAACCATTTATACCTGTGGAGAAAAGAAAATATAAAAGCAAAAAACCCAACAACTGAAATTTAAGGACTTAACATTTGAGGTGTCTGACCATTCAAGAGAGTCTCTAAAGTTCCCTGATACTTAATTTATAATTATACTGAAAAACAAATATTTAATTCTTTGTATGGAACAAGTCATTTATTTTCCAAGTGAGCCTACTGATCTTCGAAGATCTGCATTTCAGTATAGCTTTACTACTCTCTGTTGATCCTAATAAAAAGTAATATGTTCTTTTTTTTTTTTTTTTTAGAAAGCCAAGTTAGATGTAATGATGGAAAAAAATATCTACATATTGATGCTTAACCAAAAATCTGAAAATGTGACTAAATTAAGAATGGAATGTTAACTAGGGTAGAGGGATCTAAAATACACTTTCAAAAGTGATCAGAGAGGCACTGTTTCATCAATACCCTGTAATGATTTGCATTTGAATCTAGGATACTCACAGATCATGGACCATATACACCTGGAATGTTAACTAGGGTAGAGAGATCTAAAATACACTTTCAAAAGTGATCAGAGAGGCACTGTTTCATCAATACCCTGTAATGATTTGCATTTGAATCTAGGATACTCACAGATCATGGACCATATACACCTATTTACAAACATTAAAGGCAGTCTAAGTTTAGACTGATATATATAAAGTGAGTAATTACTTTTGAAATGATTATACTATTAAGTAAACATTGATATACTTATTAGACCTCTGCCTAAGAGAAAAAAAATCCCATTTAATGAAACAAGTCAACTGCCAAATCTGTATGAAAATTTATATTGCATTATGGAACCAAATACAATGTTACATGTAAAACACAATTAAAATCATTATCACAGATAATAAAACTTACCCCAACAGAAACTTAATGATAATTACAAAAGGATCAACTTTGTATGGTTTGGCTTCTTTATCCAACATGGTAGCATATTCTAAGCAACAACCTGGTGATTTAAAAAAAGTTACATGCAATTCATAGTAATTAAGTATGAGATATACTATATCCCACGTTCTCTATAAGAGCAACATATTTTGTGTCAGAGAAAGCAAGGGTCTTCATTACTATCACAGAGACTCTTCTTGAAAGATTAAAAATAGCTGCAATTCAATAGCTCTTACATTAGAGTACACATTCAATCATTTGTAAAAACAAATTCAGGAAGTCAAAGCTGGGATTTCATCAGCTGTATTTTCACAAAGCTCCACGAGTGATTTTAAAAATTAGCTTTATTGGACAAAATTCTGATATAATTCTTCTATTTAAAGTATATACAATTCAGTGGTTTTTAGTATATTCAGAGTTATACATCCATCACCACAGTCTTAGAACACTTTCATTATCCACAAAAGAAAGTTTTCTTTAAACTGTCACTCCCCAAATTCCCATCCCTTGGCAACCACTAATATACTTTCCTTCTCTAAAGATAGGCCTATTCTGAACACTTCATATACATGGAATCATAATATGTGGTATTTTGTGATGGGCTCTTTTCACTTAGCATTTTTCAAGATTCATCCATGTTGTAACATATACCAGTATTTCATTTAATTTCTTCTTATTCAAATTCCTTTTATTCCATTGTATGATTATATTACATTTTATTTTTCCATTCATCAATTGACAGACATTTGGGTTGTTTCTGCTTTTTGGCTGTTATGAATAATACTCCTATGAACATTTGTATATCAGTTTTTGTATGGATATATGCTTTCATTTTTCTTGGTTATATTCCTGGGAATGCAGATGCGAGTTATGTAATAACTCTATATTTAGCCATTTAAGGAACTGTCAGACTGTTTTTTTCACAGTAGCGACACTATTTTACACTCCTAGCAGCAGTGTATGAGGGTTCTAGGTTTTCCACATCCTCATTAAAACTTATTATTTGTCTTTTTTTAATTACCATCATTCTAGTGGGTATAATCCACAGGTGATTTTTGATAAGCGTCCTTGGTTCAGAACTACATCTTTAATTGGCTGGATACATAATCCAATACTTAAAGCCTCTAGATTAACCAGCATCGAACATCCCCCAGATGTACATTCTATATGTTTGAGAATCAATTATCAAGTCAGTTAAAACCAAGAAAAACGAGACTTTTTTCAGACTTTCAAAACAAGATAGACATTTATACTCAAGTCTGGTTGATGTCATAGAGTCAGAATAATCTCTTTTTTTTTTTTTTTTTGAGAAAGAGTCTCACTCC